AAATTTTAACTATGCCTAGTTAAACTCCGAAGCAGCCAGTTAAAATTTAATGGCGCCGCCTAGGAATAATTATTTCGTATATAAACCATACTGATTGAGATCCTTAATGCCTACCAAGGACTCACAAATTTTCATCCAAATCACTTGAATAACTCAAGAAAAATAGAAAATATACAAATTAAAATGAACGAATTTGAAAGCCCTGATGTTTGAGATTTTTTTTTCGAAATCCAAATCACACGTGTCGAACAAATCTCTTTGTTGTTAACGTTCCATTCGGTGGTCCTGGGCTCCGAGGTTTTCGGTACTCCAGGTTGTTTGAGATCTCCTGCCACTGAGACGTGCCATTATTTCTAGGGTAGAATGTACATCAAAAAACAACAAAAATGTTCCAATAAAAATGTGTCCAAAGATGATCCCCTACCGAAGTTTAAGTTATTGATTAAAAAAAAGTACATCTACGGAGCGAGTAGTGATACTCAATTAGTATTTTAGACGTTGAGTAACAGATTTTCCGGCTCAAACTAATCCAGTAACGTAGAAAGTGGGGTAAAAAGGCTTAGCCTCTCTTATTCTGGAAACACCGTGACGCTGGATATTGCAAACACTATATGCCACTATATGGCCTTTCTACCTGTTACGCCTCATTATAATATTAACTGAATAATATTGGTTATCTTATCCTCAATCAGTGGCGTAGAAGATATTTTCTACTGGGGATCCAGGTACCCAAGTCTCTAGGTCCCTGGCTTGTCTGTGTCTTTATTGCTTATTATGTCCTCACTGAACGTCCAAGATCTTAACTCAGCAGGTTCACGCGCTCTGTGGATATATATTTTTTTCAATTCCACCCTGTATCTCGATAGGGGAGCATCTTTGGACCCATATTTGTTTTTTACTATGTTTGGATGTCCTTTCCACCCTTCAAATATTGGCACATCTGTCTGAAACACCCTGTATAGACGGCATTCACACAACCGGATCAAAGACACAGGCACCGACAGGTGTGCGAACCAACTTGTAACCTTCGTGCGGGTTTCCTTCGCTCTGCCGGCGATTGGGAGCATCCTTTAAGTAAACCTAATATGAAAGTGATCCTACTACCCCTTAGTCCGTAGAGTTTGTTTATAGCCGATGTTCCGTGACACGGACCACTTAATTTCACGAAAGGTGGTACGTATTGTTCTCTTATGGTTGAATACCGCAATTCAACAGGAAGTTAGACCATCTCACTTCACACGCGAGACATGAAAGGTGAAATCGTCCGGTTGAGTGTAAAAATTTATTTTTTAGTGTTTCAAGCCTTGAACGAACGAAAGACAGATATTCAAACCTTCAACCGCCTGTGGCCTTTCCCGTTGGTTCACCATTCACTCTTGAGCAAATTGAGCAAATCGTTATGGCATTTCCGAATAAAGATTCGTGTGGGTTCGATCAGATATGCCTGTATGTTAGACATATTAAGAAACTTATTCCCTATATTTCTTCATTTTTAGCTGGTTTGATTAACATTGAGTTTTGTAGCGGCACGTTTCCTGAAGGTCTCAAAAAAGCCATAATAGTGCCGATATTTTAAATAAGGAGACGAACAAGACATTGATAATTATAGAACAGTGTCATTACTGAGTATCTTCTCTAAAATTATTGAAAAAGTCGTGTATGACCGTATATATAAATTTATCATCAAGTATAACATTCTAAGTAACACACAAGCATGGATTTCGCAAATGTATGTCTACAGAGTCGGGCTGCATTGACCTAAGTCAATACATATCCGATGTACTGGACAGAGAGGAACTTGTACTCACTATATCATTTGACTTGACACGTGCGTTTGATACAGTTGACATAACCTTTGTTAAGAATAAAATGGAACATATGGGACTGAGGGGTAGTATTAATTCTTTTATTTTTCCTCACTTGTCAAGTCGTAGGTTTGCTGTTAAAATTGGTGAATCAGTGTCCGATTATTATAATCAAGATACCGGTGCCCCACAGGGTAGTGTTCTTGGACCACTGCTCTTTCTGCTTTTCATAAACGATTTACCAGACCACATCACTGAAGGCGAAGTATTCTTATATGCGGATGATACTACTGCAGCAGTTTCTGCAACTGAAGGTGAATACAGTGCTCCAAGAGTTTGCTAACTGGTGTAATCTGAACAGTCTAGCGATAAAATTGTAGCTATGAATATAAGATGTATGAAGAAGCAATCCTGTAATGTTAACTTGTCCCTTAATGGCCACAACCTCGAGCTCTCTCTATCTAAAAATTGTTTGGGCTTAGTGGTTGATTGCCACCTAAACTGGGAAACCCATATCCACAGGGTTTGCAAAAAGTTAAATACAGGTGCTTTCGTCATAAATAGTCTAAAAAATTGTGTAAGTCGTGAAACCTTAATTAGTGTCTACTTTGCGTTTATATACTCGGTCCTCTCATATAATATCGTTATCTGGGAACAGGCCTCAACTTTAGACAGAGTCTTCATCACACAAAAAAGAGTCATTAGAAACATGTTCAATTTATCGTTCAGGGCGTCCTCTGGGGACTATTTTAAGAACTTTTGACCGTCTCCTCAATTTATTTTCTAAAACTACTATCCTATACCCATAAAAATAAATACTCCTTCCAAAAAACTCACATTGTCATGATTATAACACGAGGAATAAGAACCAATTTTGCTTAGGTAAGCATAACTTAACTACTCACGAAAATGCTGGTACACGAATATACAATAATTTACCAGAATCTCCTAAACAAATAGATAATGTTATGCTCTTCAAAAAGCACCTTAAGAGGATGCTTTTATCTAACACCTTCTACAGCATAGATGAGTTCCTTGCATTTTTGTAGGACCTGAAATAATGCAATTATCAGGAGGTCCCTTAACTTGGCATTCAAATGCACTTTAAATTTTATGTTATCAGTTTGTCTGTTGTTTTTTTTTTTAGTTTGATTTTTATTTAGCCTTTACTTTTTAGAAGTATTATACGTGATACTTATGACGTGTTCCTCTCTATACTTATATACGGGTGTCCGCAAAGTTGGGGTTTTCCTTTTCAGAAACAACTACCCTTGAAACAACAAAGGTAATGTGTGGTGAAACGAGGGCGACCAAGTAAAAAAAAATAAAGGAAAAAATAACTCACTCTCCAGTTGACGAGAAGGGCTAAGTATGTCTCTGCCCGAAATTATACCGCTCCAACAGAAAATGAAATCAGCTGATGCGCTACCGAGCAGACGCAGGCGGTGGTGCAGACCACGAACAGAGGTAACAAATATGACGGCGTTGACGCGCTTTCAGTTTTTAGGTAAACGTACTTTATAGGTATTGTTCGAAGTTATCGCCGTTTGATTCAAAAACACAGGTGCGTGCACGACGTAGCCAAGCATCGGTGCAGGCTTTGAGAATGGAGTCCCTCCCGCGAATGAAAGCACCAGCTTGTTCAATTCTGAGACGCAGTTCGTCAACCGTATGCACTTCAGTTTTGTACACTAAGCGTTTCATTTCTCCCCAAAGAAAAGAATCACATGGTGATCGCGGAGGTCACGCTACAGGTCCATTACGTCCAATCCACCTATTCGGAAATAATTCATTCAAAAGCTCACGCACTTCGCGTCTAAAATGGGGCGGTGCACCATCGTGCAGAAACCACATTGATTGTCTTACACTTAATCTTCTAACAAGGAAGGCAAAATGTTGCGTAAAAAGTCTAGGTATTGCATCCCGTCCAATCGATTTGGGAGAATAAATGGTCCAATGAGCATACCGTTCACCATGCCAGTCCAAACATTCACCGAAAATGTTTGTTGAAAATGTGCCCGACGGACAGCGTGCGGATTTTCTACTGACCAAACATGAGTATTGCGAAATTATTCACCCCATTACGCGTGAACGTAGATTCGTCTGTCACCAATATGCACTTCAAAAAGTCCGGATTATTGTCATGTTGATGCAACAACCACTCACAAAACCGCACTCTTGCTGGAAAATCGTCAGGCTGAAGGGCTTGTACACGTTGGACGTGAAACGGATACAGCCCCTCTTCACGCAGCGTTTGCCACACTTTAGTTTTTGATACTTGCACTTCTCTAGCCACGTCTCTAGTGCTTGTTGAGGGATTCTCGTCTACGCGATTACCCCTACACGCGTGACCGTAACCGTAGGTTGAAGGTTGCATACTGACCTGACACACTGATCCCGACCCAGTTCTGTCGTCGGGTTGAGCCAGTGACCTTGTACCACTTGGTGATGTCGCGGGTCGCGGCTACAGGACGGTATTTAGATATTTCTGATGTTTCAGAGCCCTTTATCTCGGTTCCCTTAAGACATAAGTGTATATGGTACTAAGAAAAAATGATTATGTTTTCAAGATCTACACGTCGTGTAAAGGAAAACCCCAACTTTGCGGACACCCTGTATAGTGTTCGGAACTAATAAAGGCATTTGAATTTGAATTCAATTTTTATAACTCAGTGATAGCAAGCACACAACGATTTGCATAGGACACAAACAGTTTGATATTGTCGTCCGCTGGGATCTGTGTTTATACTTCTATTTTCACGAATAGTATCCTGACCTCTAACCTTCTCAAAATATGACGCCTATTTCAGAGACGGCCAGACAAAAGCACTATATTAAGAAGGCTCATACAATTTCCACAATTAATTTCCTCGTCCAATAAAACAGAGATAATTACTTTCCTTTTGTTCCAAGATGTTGTGGACTCCAGGAAAAGAGAGAACATTATTTTTGTTAAATTATAGTCATAAAGCTTTTATAGTATTAATAATGCATTTATTCCAATATCATTTGGGGTTGTACAAATCATGTGAAATCTTGCATTTCATCAAATGTTGCCTAAATAGATTTTGTTAAGTCCTAATATTAAAATATTTGCATATCTTGCTCCCGCATAAATGGACCACTGCGCAATGTATAACTGATATGAAACCTCATCTTTTACGAACTCATAAACTGGACGTTACTTGGTTACAGGAGGATACGTCTGCAAAAAACCTCATCACGCCGCGGGATTATCTGCTAACCACAACCGCACCATTAATGGTACCGAAGGGCGGATCACCACCCCTAACTACCCTGGCCGTTACTACCACAACTTAGATTATTGGGTTAAAGTATCTGGACCAGAACGGTAAAGCTCACAACACTAGAGAATAGTTCGGGAATTTTGACACATAGCCTACTATAGTTATAGTCATCGTTCTTGGCAGGTCAAAGTAAGACTACCAGTATTAATCTATACAGGGTGGCGCATCGAAAACGAAACAGACGCATTTACTGGCAGCTCAGGTTTTTTTTGAAAAACGGACAGACCCGTCGATTTTGTTTTCGTCGGGGACACTTCATGCGTACTAGAGAGACTAGCAGATGCACTGGAAATTAGTCTGCGTCCATGATACGGAGACTCGATCTGTTTACTTATTTCATATGGCGTTGATGACGTGACCGCCATGATCGGTGACTACAACTATACCAAAATGCTATTAGATACTACTGTTAGATGAAATGTTGAATATTCTCCTACACATTCCTCAAATCAGCGTGATTGTTTGTCCAAGTAGACATCATTCTTTAACGAACGTTTATAAATGTAACCCTCGTATTTAGAGTCGACCCCTGCGGGTCCCTTAGCGGCTCTATCAAGAATCCTTTAACGGAACAACGTGGTAATATATGTTATAGTGGAGGGTCGACTCTAAATGCGTTTCAAGATCCTTTCCAATAAGTTATCTCAACGATCTGGATTCATCGGGTCCATACTTTGTGGAAAACCATATTGTTCATCTCATTCCATGGCTAGTGGAATCCTATCAAAAAACTCATTTTGTCGTAGCTTGAATTTTTATGTTTAGGTCCCGCATAATAGTGAAATTTCAAGAAATCGACGTAGAATCCCAGCTAGAGTGCCTTTACGACTACGTCGAGCTCAAAACCTTGCATCGGGGTAGCGGCAAAAGACCTGACGATGCTGTGAAATTGTGTGGATCACATGACAGGGACATGGAACGCTTTAATTTCGTCAGTGAGACAAACGAGTTGATGGTTAGGTTTCATTCGGACTATTCGATATCCGGAAAAGGTTGGTATCGTATATCAGAAAATTATGGAAATCTTGAGAAACTTGCAATTTTGAATGTTTTCTAGGATTCTGGAAATCTTTGGATTTTCGGAAAAGTTTTGAATCTTGTAAATTTCATGACTGGTCAAACTATGAACGGTTATTGGTAATTTTGGATATTTTAGAAACCTTGGGGATAATCGAGAATTTTGGAAAAATTGTGAATTTTGAAAGTTTTAGAGATTTTAAATTTTTTGAGATTATGGGATGTTTGAGAGTTTTGAAATTTCCGGGAAATTGGTTAGCTTTGGAAATTTTGGGGTTTTCCGGAATTTAGTAAATTTTTGGAGTGTAGGAAATTTTTGAAATTTTCAAAATCTCCAACATTTCCAAAATATCCAAAATTTCTAAAATTTCAAATATCTCCGATATTTCAAAAATTTCCAATATCTCAAAAATTTCAAAAACATCCACAATTTACAAAATTTACAAAATGTCCACAGATTCTAAATTTCCGAAATTTTCAAAATAGTCAATATCTCAGAGATTTCTAAAATTTTGGAAATATTGGAAGTTTTGGAAATTTTGAATATTTTGTAAATTTTAGAAACTTGGAAATTTTTGAAAATTTGAAACTTTTGAATATTTAAAAAATCTTGATGATTTCAAAACTGAGGGAAATTTTGGATATTTTGGTAATTTTAACAAATTTGAAAATTCTGAAAATTTTGGAAATTTTGGAAATTCCGGAAATTTCGAAAATTTAGGAAAATTTGGAAATTTAAAAATTTTGGAAATGTCAGAAATGTTGGAAATTTTAAAATTTCTGAAAATTTTGGATATTTTGAAATTTTGTAAATTTTTCAAAATATCCAAAATTTCACAAATTTCCAAAATATCCAAAATTTCAAAAATTTCCAATATCTCCAGAATTTCAAAAATTTCCAATATCTCAAAAACTTCCAACATTTCCAAAATTTCCACGATTTCCAAGTTTTCAAAATAGCCAAAATATCCAAAATTTCCAACGTTTTTATAGTTTTCAAATTTTCCAAGATTTTTAAAATATAAGATTCTTTACATTTTGAAAAATTACACATTTTCTTGGATATTCAAAATTTTCCAAAATCTCAAAAATTTCTAAAATTTTGAAAATATTGGAAACTTTGGAAATTTTGGATATTTTGGAAATTTTAGATACTTGAAAATTTTGGGAAGAAATTTTAAAAATGTGGGTAATGTTGGATATTCTGGTAATTTTAACAAATTTGAAAATTCTGAATATTTTGTAAATTTTGGAAATTCTGGAAATTTCGGAAATTTTGAAATATTCGGGAATTTTGGAAAATTTGGTAATCGTCGGAATTATGTGAATTTTGTAACATTGGGGATTTTGGGATTTTAAAAATTTTGAGAGTTTTGGGAATTTTGAATATTTTAAGAATCTCGGAAACATTGGGAATGTCGGGAATTTGGGAATTTTGGGAATGTTGAAATTTTGGAAATTTCGACTATTTTTACAACTTGGGAAACTTCGTGAATTTTTTGAAATCTTGGGATTTTTCTGAATTGTAGGAGTCTATTTAATTTTGGGAATTTAGAGATTCGGGATTTTGAAGAATTGTGGAATTTTGGAGCTTAAAGTAAAAAAATGGAGAATTTTAGAACTTTGGAGACTATCATTTTTTGAAAATTTCTGAATTTTGTTAGTCTGAAGGATTATTTAAACTTTTCAATTTTGAGTAATTTGAGAAATCAAAAAAATCTCGGAACCAACAGTTCGTCTTGTACCAACAGGTTTCTCATTGAGGTGGCAGGCGGTAGATGTATCAGCCTGTCCTATTCAAACTCTGACAGCCAAAGAGGGAGCTATTGTCACGCCCAACTATCCCAATTTCCTGCTCGCCCACTTGGACTGTACTATAAATATATTAGCTCCGACCGGTAAACGAATTTGGCTGGAGTTCGCAAAAAACGATGAAGCTTATGAAGTTATTACTACACAAAAGGATTATCTTCTGGAATTGATGCTGGGGAAAAGAAGTCGGATGATCAAGCCGTTCTCAATTGAAGGGCTACTGACAGAAGGTAACGTCCACTGATTAACAATGGAAGGTAGCTTTTTTTATTCATACTCTAACCTGTAGCATATTCATCGAAATTTATTTGGTCAATAAATGTGTTAATCGTTCTCAGATGTGTGGCCCAAAAGTTCAAGTAGATGGTCTGATTTGGATACGATGATCACCATTTTAATGCCTTGAATCAATAGGGAATATGCATGATCTTCTCATATTTTCTGTTGATAATTTACGTTAATATAATAACACAAACAGATATTAATATTTGTATTTATTTTTAATCAAATATTTATAACTGAGATCCCAATGACGTCGATTTAAACGTAGGTCCGCACAGACGTCGTAACGATCGATATGTCATTTGATTCCCCTTTTGGTGAATTTGCTGACGAGTTTCCAAAGGTTCCGTTTTATATCCTCTATTTTTAATGAAAAAACTAACTGAGGCGTGGTTGAAGGACGAAAACCTCATTAAAAGTAATGTGAACATACTGAGCAAAAATACGATACGGAAAGCACCTGATAAATTATTTTTTATATTCCCCGAATCCAGGGATACCAAGAGAATACTGACGCAAAATGATGAAATGGGATCATACTTATCTCTAATAAGTAATTCATATTGTTGTGAAAATCATTTTAATATAAGTACAGAACACGTAACTTCCATTTTGCCTAAATATTTACCTTAGATCACAGAAATTATGTATCATAAAGCATCTATTTTCGGAAGTTTATCCGACTGTGCCTTTAGAATACTGTTTTCAGTCATCGTTGATTGCGCTCCGGAAGACTACACGAGAAAGTTGTAAACAAAATCCGATGTATAACTGTCTTCTTTTGAACTGATAAAACATGAAACTGACAGGTTGGCAATCAATGACAGTGAGAACATGGGTCTCCGGGTGCGCTTGCAAATCACTTGATAATGTAATTCTGTTTTCTGAAAGCCTTTTATTTATTATAAGAAACGGTAAGGATACGAGGTAGTACGAAGTACACTCTGTAACAATTTGCGAAACCAGCCCTGTCATTTGACTGACAAATCAAAACATACCGTGAATGGTGACGTCACGCCTATAGCATTGCGTTTCGATATTTCAAATTTACCGCGTATTTGTTATCAATTTATGCTCGCAATTTGTATCGCTTAAGGTGTAATTCTGTAGTACTGGAGACTGTAAATAAGTCATTAGCGGATATTTGAATCGCATATTCTCTATTGCATCAATTTATTCGATCCATATATCCATAGCATAACATCGAAATTACATATTTATATGACGTTGAGTATTTCATATCCATCCTCTCAACGTTGCATTTTAGATTTTTTATATAACTCATTCATCAAATAGCAATCTAGTTAAAGCGAACAGCGTTAAAAATTAATTCCAGACCTGCTAATTGCCTCTCGTTTATATTACGAATCGATAAGTCAAATGTAGCTAACAGTACTTAATAATGAACTACACCTAGAATAGCTTTTGCTGGGCAGGCACAAATGGTCGAGTAGTGCCAATATTAATTTTATTTCACAAAATTTCACCAATTCGACTGAAAACACGTACGTGATTTGATCCCAATTACTGCAAATGTTACAAATTCGATCAACCTAACTGAAAGTTATTTCAAATGCGGCCCATTCACCCTACCGATTAACAATTATTCATTTATCGTTTATACAGGGTGTCCCAACCGTGCGAAGACTGAGCATTGCTATTAAAAAAAAGTTTTCAAAGAAAGCTATTTACGGATTAAGGTTGACCTTTTTCAAATAGAATACCTACCTTCATTACACATCCAGATAGGCGCTTATAAAAGAGCAAGATTGATATTACGTACTTCTGGGTTTTGGTTACTAGTTATTGAGCTATCCTGTATTTTATCTAAAAAAAAAACATCAATGTTTGGCAGTCTGTGTACCTGCTATCTTGAGAGTTGGAGTAGTGGGTTTTGCAAAAAAAAATTATTATACTCAACTTTAGCCTCATTCATTAATTTTTTGATTTTGCAATCATCAATACAGGATGATCAAAAACGCAAAATTTACTTTTTTGTAAGCAAAAATTAAATGGAACGCCCTGTATACCTTTATCTATGTTTACTTAGGCGTCATTTTCAGACATCTCAAAAAATTGATTTTTATTATTGTTACATAATGTGTAACAACACAAAAACAGTGAATTACTTGGTGTCTTGTTAATAACCTGACTTTACAGATTGTCAATAATCCTCTACTTGTGTGTGTGTTTTGAGAGATATCAAATTTTTTGAACTGAATAGCCATAACGCAGAACCCATTTGAACTGGCGACAACCTGATATCGAAAAAGCTAGTTAAAATGGGAACCCGTTGTGTGCAAATATGTATATACAGGGTGTCCCAGAAGTCGACGTCAAGTCGAAACCGGGTGATAGGCAAAGTCATAACAGCTATCAGAAAAATATTTAAAAAAATATTATGTATGTGTTTTGAAAATTATAGGTCTTTGAAAAAATTATAGAAATTTCACACCCTACGGCAGTCTGTCAACTAATGTTACTACAAGTATTAACTTTTTTTTGATTTTATATATTGATATAACCTTAGTGCCAACTTTTCTCGTTCAGGAAAAATTGCCACTTATTTCCTCACAAGGACCCTTAAGGATAACTGTTTGCACAACAGTGGCCGTCAAAATGCTGCTGATGATGATTTACCTTTACAGCAAATGCTCAGACTGTTTTCCTTCAGCCGCAATACCCGCTCGACATCTTCTTAAAAAAGACCGGGTTATTAAACGAGCGAATCCACGGTTATTAACAAACTCAGCTGCTTCCAATAGTCTTTGTCGTAGCTCAGCTACATTTTGAATCGGCTTGAAATAAACTTTTTCTTTTACAGTTCCCCAGTAAACAAATCTAAAGAGTTCAAATCAGGTGGTCGGGCTGGCCACGGTATTGTACCAGACCGCCTTATCCATCTGCCTGGAAAGTTTTGATTGAGATACTCTCTCACTGAGAGTGCATAGTGCGCTGGGCAGCCATCATGCTGAAACCACATGTCCCTGTAAATACTCAGTGGCACGTCCACCAATAAATTTTCTAAATGATTTTGCAAAAAACCTAAATAAACCTCAGCAGTCAAAGTCTCTGGGAACTCAAACGGACCGATTATTTTACCATTTAAAATTCCTGTCCAATGGTTTATCTTGAAGCCATATTGAGATTTATCTTCTCTCATCAAATGTGGGTTTGCTACGTGCCACTCGTGTAAGTTATGCAGGTTCATGTACCCATCTTTCTTAAATGCGGTCTCATCTGACCATAAAATTTTTTCAAAGAAAGGGTCCTTGTGCGTTTTCATAATCGCTGTTTATTTAGGAAATTTGGAAAAATTTTCATCAGTTTTTTTTTTCAAATAAAAATTGTGCATAAGTTAACGAGCAATCTTCTAAGTGTTATACCATTTTGGAATCGTTATTAAATGCTCCAACTTTTAAGGTTACTTGCCAAACTCTCGGAGTACATTTTTTTCCAGTACAGTCAGTTAAAGTTGAGCAAAGTTTTACTTTGGAATACTTGGTTGGGAAATAAGTGGCAGTTTTTCCTGAACGAGAAAAGTTGGCAGTAAGGTTGAGACACCAGTTTGAAGATGCATTATTCATCAATACATTGTAAAAATAAAATCCAAAAAAAGTTAATATTTGTAGTAACAGGAGTTGACAGACTGCCGTAGGGTGTGAAATTTCTATATCTTTTTCAAAGACCTATAATTTTCAAAACACATACATACAATTTTTTTAAATATTTTTCTGATAGCTGTTATGACTTTGCCTATCACCCGGTTTCGGCTTGACGTCGACTTCTGGGACACCCTGTATATATATATAAGGTGTACCATGTATTTTTTTGCGAAAAAGTGCATTTTGCGTTCTGGACCAACCTGTATTGATCGCTCAAAAAATTAAAAAAAAAGTATAAACTAGACTAAAATTGAGCTTGATAACATTTTTTGCCGCAAGATTCACTACTCCAACTGTCAAGATAGTAGGTACGCAGACTTACTTTGATGCTTTTTTAGGTAAAACACCAAATAGCTCCACAACTAAATATAAAAAACCGCACGTTTGGGACACCCTGTATGTCTTTTTCAGTTTCAAGATACTTATATTTTGCAAGAAAATGTACCAAGGTGATTGACTCAATGAAGTATCTTCCATCTTGATTAAATTGCGTTTGAGATAGCTGGAATGGAAAGTCATAACTGCCCTTTTCCTTACATCATTTGAGACAGAAGTAGGGTCAGAGTTCGTACGTCAAAGCTTGTCGGATCGCGTTGACAGGCAAAAACGGAAAAACTTAAATATGTCTGATATTCTGTCAAAACAAAAATATTGATTTCATCTAAATAAAAACTTCGTTTTCACAGGGAGCTTTGTGTCGGTGGATGAGAGGGTGAAGCTACATTTACAAACTGGAGACCAGCCTGTAGGTCGAGGATTCAGCGCAAGCTACAAGATACTCAATGTCGTAGAAGAAGAAAAAGTCATCACATTGAGCAACTTCACTAGCGGTACTTTGCTACACCTCAACTTTCCCGATCGACCGCCTTCGAACGTCAATTTCATCCAAAGATTTGTTGCGCCGTTGGGGTTAGTAACCTTGCTGCTCTTGAAAAACTAAATATTTTGGAAATCCGAAAGATTACGAAAAACTCACTCACTCAGTTGATGGTACCGGACGCCTACTGACACCTGTCATACCTGTCTATATGCTTAACATAAGGGTCATGATGTACACGTATCACTCTTCGTAAAAACCAGGTGGTGACAGCTACCACGTGTATTCAAAAATCATAGTTTTAAGGTCCGGTGCCCATAAGCTTGAGCTTTCTTTAAACTTCCATTAGGTGTATAATCTCTTTGGAGCTACACAACGTGCGGTTCGCCGAGGCGGAGTGTCCTGGCAAGAATGGTGTGATCGAGGTGTTTGACAACTACTCTGACGTCAATGGAACCACTTGGAAACTGTGTCACGATCCTGGGGGTGACGACGTAGTATCCGTCCCTATCTACATATCATCATTTCTGAATACTCTTCATGTAAGGCAGAGACATGGACTGCTGGGCGTACCTCTCAACGGAACCATGAAGGTAAATAGATTTTCACTATTTTATCTGATTTTTTAATTACATTGCATTTCATTATTTTACCAATAACTTGCTCTCTGTACTTTATTTTATTTTACGTTACATTAAGTCATTTTATTTGATTTTGTACGTAAATCTAAAATATCTACTGCCAGCCCAAATGACCCCTCACAAAAGATACGGCAAATGGTACCAGTCGATTTTGCTAAAAATTCGAGATAATATATTTATCGCCTTCCTCAACAAAATATCTCATGGGGTCAAAGCAATCCTATGATTAGTTTCTATAAAATGGGGAATCGTGTCCGGTCACATAAACGGTGAAAGTGTCGCAAAGATCTTGCACCAAATACTCGGATGATTGTTACAGTGAATAAATTTTTCATTAAAACTACTTATCGCAACGTTTTGGGAGGTGTCATATTGATCTTGGTCATAATACTTACAAGCTTAACTTAGGGTCATAATCAAATACAAATCCACAATTTGTTTTTAATTCTCCAACAACTGTATTCTTTTGGCAAATGAAGATATTGCTCCAAGATTGGGATATGTTTATTTTGTCATTTTTGGAAAGTTGAATGGGTTATCGCTCCCTTTCGGCTTAACCGGAAGTGACCGTGACTTTCGTTTTTCGAATGTATATTTTCTTCGATAATCACACTCTATGCAAAATTCCCTTTCAAACGATGTCACGAGTTACATTTTCCTTTTAAAATGAGCGCGCTATGAAGAAATTTGTGAATAACCTAAAATCCACAGAATTGCTTACAATAGAAAAAAATATTTTGAACTGTCAAGGTAGCGAACTGGTTAAAATTGAAATACAAAAAAACTGCATGCTTGATTTTCAGTTTTTTGTTATCGTCGCATAGCAGACATTCCAATAGTTCATAATAAGTAGTAAAATGTTGAAAAGCTACAAACGTTTTAAAATTGCGCTTTTTAAATGTATCATTTTCTTTTTTTTACTAACTTATTCGATAAAAAATGCAATTTTCTGTAAAAAATCTCCTAGTAATGAAATTTGCAAATAATATAAATAATATCTCTATCGAACAAGCTTTCATTTGAGGTATTAAGCGTTCAATTATCTGAAGTACATGCAGAGAAACAACAATGACACCCACAGAGGCTGGATTTTCAAGGAATTTGTATTACTTATTTGAACAAGTCGTTACTGTCCTCAAAGGACTCGCATGCCATGATTGTTTTATGGAATCGGCTCGACGAGGAAGCGAGCGAGAAGAGCTGACTTAGTGGAGGAGTGAGAGAGATAGCGAGCTGTTATTATGTATCATTGTAGTTACGCCATCGCCGCACGCCGAGTGAGAATTAGGGTTAGTTGGTATCAACTACTGCGTACGCGCACACGTTTTACGCACGATTATTATTTTCGAGTTTCCCGGTTCATTTCGAGTGGTTTCTTTATCATCATGGCAGACGCAGAAGTTCCAGGTCCTCGCCATAGCGAGCACGGGCAAACTTTTACAAATGAAGAATACGCAGACATAATGTTCTGTTATGGACTTTGTAACGGCGATTCTGCAGCTGCCGCCGTGAATATCGGCAACGTTTCCCGAATCGCCGAACACCACATGTTACTGTGTTTGACTCTGTGTATCGGCGCATCCGCCAAACCGGACATGTTAAGGCAACATAGTGATGCTGGTCGAGCCCGAGTCTATCCTCCTGAAGATGAAGAGGAAATCCTTCGTGTGTTTCAGGAAGACCCTACTACGTCTACGCGCATTGTGGCTGCTCAGTTGGGTATATCACAATACAAAGTATGATTTACTGTGCATACTGCAAGATTATACCCTTATCACTACACGCCTGTGCATGTGATTGAAGAGGGCGATCCTGCAAGACGATTAGATTTCTGCAGGTACATGTTACATGCAGATACAGAAGATCCAGACTATGTTAATTAAATTGTGGACCGATGAATCGAAGTTTGATAAGGACGCGATCACTAACTACCATAATGCTCGTTACTGGGCTGATAAAGAAGCTTTAAACCCCCGAAAAGTATCACCGACGGGGTCTCAGAGCCGGTTTTCAGTCAATGTGTGGATGGGCATCATTGATGGATATTTAATTGGACCTCATTTTCTGCCCGCCAATTTGAATGGAGAATTGTGAGTTCTTGAAAAATCACTTGTTTCCATTAATGGAAGACGTCACATTGGCGACGAGACAAAATATGCGGTTCCAGCACCACGGCTGTCCCGCACACTACAGTAGATTAGTACGGGCGTATTTAGACTCTAAATTTCCAAATCAATGGATTGGCAGAGGCGGGCCTATTGATTGGCCAGCAAGAAGCCCAGATCTCACACCGATGGATTACTATGTGTGGGGTCATATGAAAAGCCTGGTGTACGATGTTTCACCCGTACCAACGCGCGCTGAATTAATTACAAGGATAATCAGTGCAGCTGACCAAATGAAAAATAACAACTAGAGTTACCAAAAGTGAATTACGTTGAGAATGCGGGCGTGTATTCGTAACAGGGGATTACAATTTGAGCACAATCTGTAAAATATTAAAGGAGATGTAATTAAATAAAACTGTAATTAAAATAAAAGTCTTTTATTTATCCTACGTAATTATCGTTCGTAAAAATTAACGCAAGATTTGAATTTGCCGCCATTTGTGCAGTGAAGTGTTGGCAACCCTGAAAAAAAGCAATTTGACAGCTAACAGTATAGGGTTATGAAAAATGGAGCGTTACACGATAGAACAACGTGTCTTCATTATTAAAGAATATTTCAAAAATAGTGAAAGCTTGGCGGCTGCAGTTCGAAAATTTCATACAAAATATGGCCGGAATAGTGTTTTAACTTCGTCAACTGTGAAGAGATTAATTGAAAAATTCATGGAGACTGGATCCGTTGGAGACGGCAAACACACTGGTCGTCCAAAAACAAGCCGTTCAAATGTGAATATCGAAGCAGTGCGTGGGAGTGTTGCGGACAATCCAGGAACCTCAATTCGACGTCGTGGACAAGAATTGCAAATGTCAAGAACCTCTCTACAGCGTATACTCACCAAAGATCTGTGTCTTCATGCTTACAAACTTCAATTAACACAACAATTGAAGCTTAATGACCATGCAGAGAGAAGAGAGTTTGTTGAATGGATTATTGAACATCAACAAATGGACCCTGATTTTTCAAGCAAAATCATCCTAAGCGATGAAGCACATTTTCATCTTGATGGCTTTGTCAATCGCCAAAATTGCCGCATTTGGGGTTCGGAGAACCCACGTGTGATTGTCGAAAAAGAAATGCACCCACAACGCGTGACTGTCTGGTGTGGATTTTGGGCTGGAGGCATAATTGGGCCATATTTTTTTGAAAATGATGCTGGTCAAGCAGTGACTGTTACTGGTGCTCGATATCGCGACATGATTACACAGTTCTTTCTGCCAAAATTGAATGATATTGATGTACCCAATATGTGGTTTCAACAAGACGGTGCCACATGTCATACAGCCCGTGAAACAATTCAATTACTGCATGAGACATTTCCCGGTCGTGTACTCTCTCGTTTCGGTGATCAAAATTGGCCTCCTAGATCGTGTGATTTAACACCATTAGACTTCTTTTTATGGGGTTATTTGAAATCACAAGTCTATGTCAACAAGCCCACAACCACCCGTGCATTAAAGGAGGAGATTCAACGCTGCATCAACGAAATTCAGCCACATTTATGCAGAAGGGTCATGGAAAATTTCGACAAAAGAGTGCGCATGTGCATGCAAAGCCGTGGAGGCCATTTGTCCGATGTGTTATTCCATACATAACCCTATCCTATGTACTTTATGAGTCAATAAAAATATAACTATTAAAAGACTAAAAATGGCATTTTCTATTTAATTCAAATCTTGCGTTAATTTTGGGACACCCTTTACTTTACTCATCTTTCTTTAATTTTATGTCCTTGTACTTGAGTTAGTTGTACCTTTTATACCTCAAATGAAAGCTTGTTAGATAGAGATATTATTTTCATAATTTGCACATTTCATTACTAGGAGATTTTTTACAGAAAATTGCATTTTTTATCGAATAAGTTAGTAAAAAAATAAGAAAATCATACATTTCAAAAGCGTAATTTCAAAACTTTTGTAAGTTTCCAACATGTTATTACGTATTATGAATTATTGGAATGTCCACTATGCGACGATAACAAAAAACTCAAAATCAAACATGTAGTTTTTTTTTCAAATTTAACCGTCTGAAATGGGAATAAAAAATAAAATTCAAATAACTCAAAAACGGTTAATTTCTGGATAGGACATTATAGGACAAAATCGGTTACTTTTGACCTAATCTATCACCCCTTAACAGGAATACGTGACATTATAAGTCCATATATTACTATCAACATTTAAATGAAACCCATGTTCCGTAAGTCTTGTACAAGGTCCTTTTTCTTAGTATGCCAACCCTCACATGGTATTCTTCAATTCGTGAATTATATCTGTCCCACAAGTATTCTCCTTTTTCACTTTCAATTTATTCATGAATGGCGTTTACGAGATATTTAATTTATTTCATTAAATTCTATTGTACTTCACTTGACTTAATAGATGCTCTCAAATTAGGTTCAGCTAGATGGCAATCACTTACAAAAGCTGATCAGCTTTAAAGACAGCGAAGTAGAATCCTGCGCTCCTAATCCTTGCCAGAACGGGGGAAAATGTATTTCAAAAAAATCAAAGAAGTTTTGTCAGTGTACCGGACATTTTACTGGTAAGCACAACATCATTAATGCCTTGACGTTTCGAATTCCTACTGTACCCCTGCTTCTATACTAACAGATTTCTTGTGATCTTCAGGTTTATTCTGTGCCTTAACCAAATGCGACCTGGAACCATGCGCGTTTGGTACCTGTTCACTAACTCCAACCGGTTACGAATGTCACTGTCGCTCAGGGTACACTGGCCCCACTTGTGATCAAAAACGGAGGCCTTGCGAAAACAACCCTTGTGATGGAAGGGGCGTATGCTCAGAACGCGGAGACAGCTTCGTGTGTAGATGCCACGCTTGGTGGGAAGGACCTAGGTAAGTGTTTCGGCGACTTCCACACTTGACAATTGTAGAAAAATGTACTTTGTCAGCAAAATACTTGGTGTGGACATACAAGTACAAACACATTTTATGAAAGATACGCAGTATTTCCTGTATTAAATAAAATCTTAATAATTGGTATCATCCTTGTTTATTTTCGCTAACTACACTAAGGCCCGGTTTTTATGTATTTGGTCAACTTCCAAATCAGGTAACTATGATTTTGAAGTTAATTAGTTGTCTGTGAATTCGCTAGTTATTATTGTTAACGAATCACTGCTTAGTGTATGGCGAATTTCCTTCAAAATTAAAATGTTCTACAATTACTCGTGTTCGAAAAGTGCAAAATTCTGAGTTATACACAAACATGCGGCCAATTAATGTACTGCCGGATGTCGAGAATCTCTTAGGAGGAATCATATATGAACAAGTCTTTGAATATATTGAAGAAAATAACATATTGACAAAATTTCAAGCAGGATTCAGAAAAAAGTATTCTACTGAAACAGCAATTCAAATGGCAGTAGAAGAATGGAAGCCAAGTATGGACGAAAAAAGTTTACAGTAACATTTTTCTTAGACTTCAAGAGAGTATTTGAGACTATTGACAGGGAGAAATTGTTAACGAAATTGCACTGCTATGGATTTCAAGGCTCAGTATTCCACTTATTACAAAATTATTTAATCAATAGAAGTCAAAGAACTAAAATTTGCAATACATCATCAAACACTAAAAACATTTCGGTAGGTGTGCCACAGGGTAGCAAATTAGGTCCATTACCATTTATTTTATATATCAACGATATTTCTGATAATTTAGAACACCGCAATATTAATCTATTTGCTGATGATGCATTAAAATGTATATATACAGGGTGTCCGCAAAGTTGGGGTTTTCCTTTACACGACGTGTAGATCTTGAAAACATAAGCAATTTTTCTTAGTACCATATACACCAATGTCTTACGGGAACCGAGATAAAGGGCTCTGTAACATCAAAAATACTTGAATACCGTCCTGTAGCCGCGATATCCCCGACTGGTACTAGGACACTAGCTCAACCCGACGACAGAACTGGGTCGGGGTCAGTGTGTCAGGTCAGTATGCAACCTTCAACCGACGGTTACGGTCACGCGTGTAGAGGTAATCGCGTAGACGAGAATCTCTCAACAAGCACTAGAGACGTGGCTAGAGAAGTGCAAGTATCAAAAACTAAAGTGTGGCAAACGCTGCGTGAAGAGGGGCTGTATCCGTTTCACGTCCAACGTGTACAAGCCCTTCAACCTGACGATTTTCCAGCAAGAGTGCGGTTTTGTGAGTGATTGTAGCATCAACATGACAATAATCCGGACTTTTTGAAGTGCATATTGGTGACAGACGAATCTACGTTCACGCGTAATGGGGTGAATAACTTTCGCAACACTCATGTTTGGTCAGTAGAAAATCCGCACGCTGTCCGTCGGGCACATTTTCAACAAACATTTTCGGTGAATGTTTGGGCTGGCATGGTGAACGATATGCTTATTGAACCATTTATTCTCGATTGGATGGGATGCAATACCTGGACTTTTTACGCAACATTTTGCCTTCCTTGTTTGCCTGCGTCTGCTCGGTAGCGCATCAGCTGATTTCATTTTCTGTTGGAGCGGTATGATTTCGGGCAGAGACGTACTTAGCCCTTCTCGTCAACTGGAGAATGAGTACTTTTTCCTTTATTTTTTTTTTACTTGGTCGCCCTCGTTTCACTACACATTACCTTTGTTATTTCAAGGGGAGTTGTTTCTGAAAAGGAAAACCCCAACTTTGCGGACACCCTGTATATTAAATAAAGACATTGAAACTGCAATAGAGCTGTTAAATAATGATATGAAAAACGTAATATATTAGGTAAGTGAAAATAAACTTAAACTAAACACAAACAAAACGAAATATATGCTAATACGAAAATCTTTAGATTAAAATACGATATATTTTACAATTAATCATGAAAAAATTGTGTCAGTCGAATCACTTAAATATTTGGACATATACGTATACAGTAAATTAAAATTTGAAGGGCACTATGAATATATTATTTCCAATACATCCAAGAAAATAAATTACTTTTATAGAATTTCGCATATCCTAAGCGTTTATTCTAAAAAAATTGTGTAGAACACTATCATTCTGCCTCATTTGTTATATTGTTCGACTACTTTATTCACTGCAGTTGAAACTGTATTTTAAAAATGACAAATTTTACAAAATAAAGCTATGAGAATCATCTTGAATAAAAATAAATATACTAGAATAAATTTTATGCTGAAAGAACTAAAATGGTTAAATATCAAAAATTTCATAGCCTACTTGGTTTTCATTTTCATATTCAAGCTAAAAAATCATCTTCTACCAAATCACTTGGGAAATTTTATTTTATTGAACAATGAGTGCCACAATTATTCTACTAGAGGAAGTATAGACTTTCATTTACAAAACTGCAGTAGCAATATAACGAGTAAGTCAGTATTTCAAAAGGGATTGTACGAATTTAATAAATTAAGTAATGATATCAAGATGTGTGTCAGTTTGAAAATGTTCAAAGGGAAATTGAAAAAATATCTCATGAAAAACCAGAATTCATAGTAGTGAAATTTTTTATAAAAATATGTAGTCTTAAAGACATACTATATTTTGTGATATACTGTGTAGTTTGGATATTATGGATATTGTAGCATAATGCTAAATAAATCTGAAACAAACAAGCAAACAATAAGTCGTTGATTCAGTAACGCTGCTTCTGTGCCTGAATTATTGTGTTCTAGGCCTTTCGTGATGTTTGGTATTTGTACCTTGTGTCATCTATGACAACTTATGTCACTGTCAAGCACATCAGATTAGGCTTTGCGACCACAAATTCACAGTTATCCCATACACGGACCTCTGATTGAAGTTGAACGCCGCTTTAGGACAAACTCGATATTGAAAAACTCTTTTTGAAAGTTAAGTTCTGGTTAACAGACCAGTTGCAGTTAACCTACGATTGAAAAACTAGGCAATAAAGAATTAATAACCCTCTTGGCAACCACTTGATGCAACCCTTTTTTTTCTCGAAAACTTTTGAAATAGCCTGTTTTTATCGTGGAAAAAATCAGGTAAATAAAAGGATCTGCCAATTAAAAAAGGATCAGAGGTGACGGGAAAGTCGCCAAAAAAAAACTGCTATAATTTATGTAGGGATGGGGTAGTTTCTTCCGCCTTTCTCGAACGCTCTAGAGTTTTTATTGGAAGTCAAATATTTGATCGTCTAGCAAAACACATGTTTTCCAAATTTCATTCGAATTGGTATATCGGTTTTTGAAATAGCTGAAAAAATGTGTTTTAAAATGAAAACGGACAAAAAAGCATAGAGGTAAATCATGTCTAACTTTGAGTATTAAAATACGTGGAACTATGTCCATGAAATATTGGGACACCGTATTTATGAGTCTCAGTTGATCATCAACCAGTGACCCTTAAAATATACGTTTGACAACAGTAACCATCTCTAGTGTTTCTTTAAAACGATAACTGATGACTGTTACCTGATAGGTGAAGCCCATGAATGCACCTCATACATACTTATTTAGTAAACGATTTTTATAAAATCTAACGCCGGGGGAATTCTTTTATCTACTGGTGCTGCACGTACAGTATTTACTAGGCCAAATGTTCCGATTTCCTATCCAATAGAAATCTTGTGTGTCTTGTTAAGGAATCAAGACATAAGGTATATTTGACTTCATTTTTTCAGATGTGAGAGAAGGATGACTAGGATTCCTTACACACCACTCAGTGAAAGGATGTTACACGAACCTTTCTGGTTAGGTTTGATGACAGTGTTTGTGGTGATGGGTGTGATCGGATTAGTTTGGTGCGCGAAGAGGCATTTTCCAGAGAAAATCGAAAAGCTGCTCGCTGAGGAGGATAGCCGAAATAGGAGCACCAGTAAGTACTTGAGCAAAATCAGCTCTGAATAATAAGAAAAATGGAAACCGAAAATGTTCACCCCAGGAAGGTTATTTGATTACGAGAACTACAACTTGATAATTCACAATGAGCTTTTTAAATCTTGAAGCGATAGCAAATGCCATTAAATCCTAAAAAGATACTAGTACACGATGATACTCAAATTATACGATTTCTGTTCGCCGAACAGACATTCCAAACATATCAAAAACATCAAATTACTTTAATGATGCACAGGGTGTTACATACCCTTGTGAGAAATTTTTTTGGATAGAATCAGTACGTAAAAATATGAAAAACAAATAAATGGAACATACCTACATGTTTGGTACATTGTCGATATTTCACCTTAAATTTCTCGTAAGCAGATCGAGATATTGATATGTGTTTTGTATACAGATTGTTCTCTGAGGCACTTACATTAGTGGCATTCTTACCGAGAAGTCTATCATGTTTAGTTAAAGAATAGTATGCCATGTAACATCTGCAACTTATACCGTGGTTTATATGCTACTAACTCAACATGCTTGTCTTGCCAATAACACCACATGTATTGATAGAATCTTCTTTACTATGAACGTTTCAATCACAAAGGTGATTTTGTTCATTGCCATTGTTTTTTGCAAAAGCTAGTATCGGTGACTTCAAGCCAGGTCAATTATACTCAAAATTGTTTTTTTGTTATTCTGTTTCATGCGCACTGTTTTGAAAATAGAACTTACTTTATCAATCAGTAGTCAATCCGTTTATAATTTAAAAAAATAGTCGGGTGGCACTTTCTTAACGAATATAACCACGAGCTGCAAGATATACCTTCCACGCAGAATCAATGTGGTTCTGAGAAAACGCACTTACTTTTACAAGATCTATTTGCGTAAAATGTGACGCTAGATATAGTACATATATATATATAGATATATATATATAGATATACAGGGTTATCCAAATTAAGTGTCCACCATTGGTAACTTTGTTATTAGTAAAAATACAAAGTTGTTTAAATTAGCAAACTAGTAGCATTTTTAACGCTGGTAAAAATGAGAAATAAAAAAAAACAATTGAGAGTCGTTATTTTGATTTTTTTCAGTAAAATAACATTTTTTTAAATGGAAACCCCTGTATATTATATTTTTTTCTGTTAAAGCATCAAATTTTAAACAAAAAAGTTCATAATGACTTTTCCGCTAAAGTCAAAAATAAAGTCAAAATAACGATAAATATTTTTAATTATTTGCAGTATTATAATATTAAGACGGCTATGAAAACAACATGGCGTTCGCGATTTGACAGCATTAAGATAAGCGACAAATTGTTAAACTGGACATACTCGCAACTAGAAGGCTTTGGAAAACAATGATAAAATCAAATAATGTCAAACATTAGTGTAAATACTTGTTTATAAGCTTTATTGTGTCATTAATTTAAAGAAAAATGTTCTCCCATGAAGAAAAGTGTGATATGTTAGAATGCTATTTAGTGTGCAGAAAATCCTCCGTGAAAGCAAGAGAATACTACAGTGAATTATATCCCGCTCGCATTCAACCGTATGAACGATATTTTCTGAGACTTTATCGAAAATTTAGGGGCAACGAAAATGTTTTTGCTAAAACAAGGGCAAAAAAAGAATTCATAATAAGCGAGGCCACGGAAATTGCAGTTATTGGATATTTTGAAGCTTATCGTGAGAATTCAATAGCAGATATTCTCAAGGACTCTAATTTCAGTTATGGTACTGTTCAAAGGATTGGAGGCCATAACTTCAACAATTTGTAACCTAGGAGAAAAGTTATTGTAAGCTTTTTTGTTTAAAATTTGATGCTTTAACAGAAAAAAATATAATATACAGGGGTTTCCATTTAAAAAAATGTTATTTTACTGAAAAAAATCAAAATAACGACTCTCAATTGTTTTTTTTTATTTCTCATTTTTACCAGCGTTAAAAATGCTACTAGTTTGCTAATTCAAACAACTTTGTATTTTCACTAATAACAAAGTTACTAATGGTGGACACTTAATTTGGATAACCCTGTATATGAGTCCCCTATTTCCAAAAGCGGCTAAATCCAAAATTGAAGGTATTAAGAAAAAGGCGAAAAACTGTAATTCTTACTATATGTAAGTTTGTGAGTCAGTAATACCGTAATATTAATGTATGTAGCACAATAAAGGATTTTTGAAAAATAAAACATATTTTTTGTTTTATATGTCCGTATGGGAGGGGGGTAGGGATGGATCTACCCGAGTTTGAATATGAACTCAGGATTCACCCGGTATTGAAACGAAGTTTGTGTGAATTCTTTCCTGATGTATTAACATTAGATAACAAAAAGGAATAAAAAAAAATCATACATTCTTTCTTGTAAACTGTTTTGCGTACCTCAACTTGAAACTCAACTTGAGAAGTAGAAAGTCCTTTTTGTTAAAAACGAAAATAAAAATCATACAACATCAGCTTCAAAGCTACACTCGGTATTAGCAAACCACACACTATTATCATCAGCAATTTTCTTCTGCTTGTGTTAAACCGTTGATTATCCATAACAGTCTTATAGTATTCCAATTCGAATTCTTCATTTTTTTGCTTCCATGCCGTTCCAAAATTTTTTGTCATTTTGTCAAAAGTTCATCAACATTCTTTAGTTTTTCGGGATTTATTTTCAAGTTTCTGGGGACATGAGCGATATCCTCTTCCCCCTTTTGCAGATGCCTTTAGCGTTATTCACATCAGACTGGTAATTTGGTTCACCCCTTACCAGGATCTGCAGATTTTTTGAACGAGTCGGTATCAACCGCTTACATGATTTGATTTGGAAATGGAGTGAGGCTGGTGACTTGATGACGGCCTCCAATGTTGAATATGCCAGTCCTGTCCCAATTTTTTTAAAGTACCATGGTTTTCGAAAATATTATAATACGTTTCAGGCTTGACTATTGTGTCAGGTTTTTTTATCTTTTTTTCTATCAAGGCGAAAACTCGATCTGGAGGTAAAAAAGAATGGCCAGTGACCGGAAATATCAATTGCACTTTTTCGATATGGCTCGGAGCCTCTAACATCCATTTAACGCACATAGACAGAACAATACTATTTTTGTTCTGCCCAGTGCAGCCATCTGATACCAGTCTAATCTCTTTCACATTCTCAGGAATCGTGATTTTGTTTAAAGTGTCATAAACAGTAAAGTTGTAAAGATACAGTTGCCTTTTGTAATATGTTATTTGATCAGGAATTTTCGGTAATACTAAGTTTTTTTGGCAGTCAAATGACAGAATCAATAGATCATCACTTTGACCTCTGAGTTTATCATAAAATGCTTTTGCCCTCAGCTTATGTATGCGTGGTTTCACTATTAAATCGTTTTTTCCCTGCAAATCTTTCTCTTGATCATTTCTCTGTATTCAAGGCATTGCGAGCAGACATCTACTTGTGGCGCATTGAATCCTATATTGAAATTAGCGTTAAAAATCTTTCTGAAGTAACTAGCTTTACAACGTGTCGTCAGAGTCGCAGAGAGATTATGCATCTGTATTGATAAATCGCTCGACAAATACTGCCTTTCCGACTTTCCTCTACAGTAGTGCTTCTCTAAAATACTGAATTGTTTTATAAAGTTTATTATGCTGTTCCGGATTTCTTTGGTTTTGTGAGATCGATGATCGCCACCTCTATTTTCCTTCGGTATCTGACTTTGATGAGAAAACCTCTTTATTACACCTTCAACACGATGTTTACTCAAATTCAGGATATTTAAAGGAGTTTCTGCATACTGGAACCACTTCATTGCCTTTCCGTATAAAATACTTGGCAGCAAGGGTGCGAGGTCTGTCTGAGTTAAGATTCCTTTTCCTTCTAATCGGCAATGTAGAAACATATTTCAGCAAAAAATTATCTTGGGCAATGTTTTTTGGTACTGAAGAAAATGATGTATGGAATTTTCGTATATCCTCCTCGTTTAATGTTGAGCATAGATACTGGATCTTTCTTTGCTGAATACCTACAAAAGATTATCGTGAGAAGTTTGACTCTGAGAAAATATGCCGCAATATTACCTCATCTCCTTGGACTTATTCTTACTCCATTTGTCTGGATCCAATTTCCTTTTCCTACACTTATCAGGCGTCTTTTCTACTATTGTATCCATATCTCAGCTAACAATTTGTTGCCCAAATACTAGGACCAACGTTGTGGTAACGCAAAAGTTGCCGGTTCATAAATTTGAGGTTATGTATGTTGTAAACACACCAACCTATCGTTTTGTTCTTAAACAAGAGCATAATAGTTTGTGTAGCAGTGGATGTAGCCGGTTTTGGTAAAACCAAGGATATAGCCACTTTTGTATTAAAACACGCATCAGCTTTAGCCGGATTTGAAAATAAGACGGAAATAGTGTGCTTGCTGCTTTATATGGATTTTGCCGCATTTTGGAAACGAGTATGTATTACAGTATATTACTAGAACCTTTGACTATGAGATGGCAGCACCCACACCATTTTTCGTAAATATGGATTTAGCCGCTTTTGGAAATAGGGGACTCATATATATATATATATACTCCGAGAACTTCGACTTGCATATCCACCTTTTTTTCATATCTTGATATGCTGAATCTTTCCTTACACTTTGACACCATTGTTTTCGACCTTAACTGCAACTTGACTTTATTTCTTTCCACAGTTTCATCTCTACGCAGCTCGAGTGTTCGCGACCAGCTAGTGAACGCGTCATCCGCCAACCCTCTAACCGGCAACGCCGCTTCGAATTCCATCCCCAGTCCATCGGGAGGCGGAGCTTCAGTAGGCGGTGCCAACTCTGCGTCCGCCCCGAACAGCGCTTCGCACTCCGCGCCACGCTCGCTCTTCGGCCGCCTGGGTATCCGCAAACCGTCCATTCTCAGCCTGACCAGTCCACACGCGTGCGACCGCCACGCGACTGCGCGAACCTTCAGCCTCGACGATTTGCTAAAACCGCCGCCCAGACGTAAGGCAGCACTTGGCCTCGCCACGCCCACTGGC